TTCTCCGAACCTTGCACAAATAATCCGGACCGCAGGGTCTACAGGGCTGTCAGAGTCACATCGCATTCCTGGGGAAGTCTGAGGTGGAAGCCAAGCAGGTTCACGCTCACACACACACACACACACACTCACACACACACAGACACACACACACGCATATACGCACACACGCGCACACACGCGCGCACACACACACACACACACACGCGCGTGTACAAACACACACACACATGCACGTGCACACACACACACATGCACGTGCGCACACGCACAGACACACATGCACGTGCACACACACACACACACAGACACGCACGTGCACACACACACACACACACACACTACATCTACAGTACAGGCAGTATCCGGGTTAATTACATCTGACTTATGGACAACTCATACTTACAAACTGCTATGAAGCCTATTATGTTAGAAAATTCAAGTAGAACAGTTTGTAATAAGGATCGCACGCACTGCTTTGTGATGCTTGTGAAAACATTGCACCGCTTCTGCTATTCATCGACTTGAGGTACAGTACAGTACTGTATGTAGTTACTTTCATTATCACTGTATTATTATTATTGATTTTATGTTTTGTATCATTATTGTTACGACTTATCTACAAATTCGACTTAAAGACAGACACATTCCTACCTGCACTGCTCGCCGGTAACTTGGCTGTCTGAGTTGGAGAAGACAGTATCTCCTCTATTTTTGAGATTAAATTATGAAATAAGTACCTTTGAAATAACTCAATACTAAAATTTTATTGCCATTTAAAAGCACATTTTCTCTCCTTTGGAAAAAAAATCACTATCATAATATTATAAAATGTGTTTTTTCTTCTTACTTCCTCAGTTTTTTTAACCACCAGCTGCCTCTCATTAAGGGTGTTCAGTAGACGCTATAATTTGTCATAGTGTTCAGTATAAGATATGACTGATTACTAGTGTTTAGTTCTACATATGTGAGCTTGTGTTCAATGGACAGTTGACAGTGATGATGATATTATTATTATTATATAAGATAGTTGTATTGCTCTGTTCAGTGCAGTATTACGGATTAGTGGTCATTACACAAAATGACAGCATGATCTTTAGTGAGTTCAGGGTAATAAGTGAGGATCAACACTTTGGTACTTAAAGTAAAGCTGGTTTAGCACTCTGGTGCTCAGCAGAGGGAAGATAGGTTAACACTTCTGTGTTCGGGAGAGTGTGGATTAGCGTTCTGGTGTTCAGTAGAGTGAAGTCGGATTAGCACTCTGGTGTTTGGTATGGTGTTCAAGGCGTCCGGAATGTTCCGCCTGTCATGGAGAGAGAGCTGAGCTGCCGCAGCACCATTTCCGCTTCCTGGCCTCCCATTGCCACCCGGCTACTCCAGGGTTGCCATGGCTGCCAGGGATCATTAGATACATCCCATCCCGTAGGGGGGGGGGGTGCTGAATGACCATCTCACTCACACACACAGCCACAGATCGTTCAGAAAGGTGCTCACAGAAGCCTCATTTTCCTACCCGTGTTATGGGGTGTCCTGTCGTCTCAGAGACGGGATGAGGGGCCATAGCGGGGATGGAGAGAGGAGAGGATGAACGAGAGGATGGAGAGAAGAAGGGGAGAATGATTGGAATGCAGACGGGAAGAGCAATGCCTCGGAGAGAGGCGGAGTGTGGATGCAGGGATCGGAGAACAAATGGATGGATTAAAAATACAGGCTATGTGTTTCCTGGGAAAGTGAAGTGCCTACAGATTACAGTCTCACTCCCTGACCTTTGTAATCACTCTCACATTTTTGACCACAAACTCACACCCCCTCCATTTTAAATAAAACACAGGCTTCCCTTGCATGAAGCCCACACGGACTGGCTTGCTGCTAGCCGAACTGACACCTTCTGCCTCCATGAGCGTCACATGACCTCCTGTCTTCCCCGTCTCACTGCCATGCTCACCATTCCTGTCGGCTCAGCAGGGCCCGGCGCTGAACCGGGCGGGTGCGCTGAGCCAGAACGGAGCAGAACACTGGCCATCAGAGACGACTCTCGCTGAGAAACCCCACAGCGCTTTCGCAGATTTTTACTCGACTTTAGCAGTCTGCTAACCATTATCTGTCCAAGGCTCACCTGAAGTCTTGTTTACCAGATGACACTAACTTGTCCTAAAGGGACGGGTAGGTTCCATAAGGATGTCCCCTGGATCCAGTCGTGACGTTAGCAGGCTAGCTGCCATACTCAGATACCATTTTTCTGACATTGGCCTTTATTTATATGTGGTTTATTTAGTCCGGGAGTGCTTCCGGGTCACTCAGAGGGCATGGAAACTTGGAAACGGCGGTGCACTTCCTGTCATAGTCTGGAAGATGTAGCGTTAAACAGTTACAGCACCAACATGGTACCAAGAATAAGTTAATGAGTTCATTATAGGTGTTGACTCTTCTGAACTCACAACCAAGATACACAAAAGGTCCATTTGTAGTGGGGACATCGTAGGTCCTGTGAGGTGCCGGGGGGGGGGTGCCGGGGGGTGCTGGGATGGGCGTCGCATGGAGAAGCAGCAAGCAGAAGACTTTGCATGTGGGCAGCATGGGTGGCATGTGGCAATGACGGCCACGGGCAGAAGAGAGGGCATGAATTACAGAGCCATCGTAAAAGTGACAGGAACAAAAGCCTTCCCTATAAAGTAGGGGGGGGCGGGGGTAGCGGTGGACTAGGTGGCTGTGAACATAATTTTTATTAATGTCACGTTAATCAGGTGATAATTCCCCTTTATGCTTTAATACCTTCGCCTAACACAGAAATATATTCACATGGAAATGCAGAGCGGCATTTTAAAACAGCAAATGGCAGCGTAGGGATGGGGGGGGGGAGGTGAGAAAGCTCCATCTAGCTCTCGCCTGTCAGGAACAAATGGGCTTTTTCTGCTCAACAGCCAACAGGCACTCAGATACCGCCCCTGCCCCCCCCCACCTCAGCAGCTAGGACATTCAGAGCTGCAGCGAGCCCCGCTGGGGAGGGAGGACGGGGTGTGGGCTGTGAGTGGCATAGGGATAGGCACTGCTGGTGATGGCATAACCCTTCTGGTCACCTTCATTTGACACCCAGGGTGCCACACGTGCAGGGGTTTGAGTGGCATGATGAGGGAGTTTTGAAAACATGGAGGACAGAGACAGGCGGAGCTGGGGGGGCTCAGTGGACAGCTGACAATTCAATAAAAAAGCAAGAAAAAAATAAAAAAGAAAACATCTGTGTGACGGATGCTGCTCAGTATTCACACGGTCCACCCAAGGTCTGCAACTCAGAAACAGATTTACTTATCATACAGATGGCGTTCCTGCATGTGGCTGAACATATTTCACCTATTGAATTTAAGGAGGACTCCCATCCTGTAAATATTCCTCAAAGCATGTGGCGTGAATTGCAGTGCCTGCAGGGGGCGCCACTCGTATATCATTATTCATTATAATTAGAGGTGGTTGTCTTTAACGTTGCTGAGGGCATGGCGTATTAAATGAGACAGCAGATAAATATACCACTTTGTGCTTTATATCGGCTGAACTATGGTGAGATTTAACCCCAACCCAAGTGGCTTTAACGAGCTAGATAAGTTGCCATGGTAATCCATTTGTTTTGTGGGAATCCTTAATTAATCCACGTGTGTAAAAATAGCGTCTGGGCCTTGTTAGAGCTCACGGCCACTCCGGTGGGATGCTGCCAGAATGTCCCGCCGCCGGGAGCGGGGGGGTGGCCAGCGCCTGAATCACATGGTCCGCTGGGTCCATTTCACACTCGATTGAAAGTGCCCGTGTTTTATGGGAGCCCCTCTACAGAGCGGGTGACAGCAGCAGGCATGTGGCCGGCCACCGCTCTCTGTTTACATGCACACGTGTCCCCCCGGGGCAGCCATGTGGGCTTAGACCATTAGCCAGGAGGAGTCTAAGCTCAGGGCTACAGCAGGAGTGTGGGATCAGGTCCTGTGGGGGATCGTAAACTGAGAGGATGAATTGGGGAGGGGGGTCGACTGAGTGGATGGGATGTGGGTGAGGGGGTGTTGTGCTGCTCTACCGGAGTATATGCACGTGATCGGAAGGCCATAGGTTTAAATCCCATGATTGGCAGAGTGATGTCACCGTTGGGCCCTTGAGCGAGGCGCTTAACCCCCAATTGCTCCAGGGACTGGCTGACTCAACTTGCTCAATTGTACATCAATTTGGACGAGTTCTTATGCCACAGTTGTAGGGGATGGGATGTGCAAAAAGTCACATTCTTCTCCTAAATTAATGCAAATAAATTAAGTAAATTGGAAGTTTTTCTCGCTGTAACGTGTAATCCCTTCCTGCCACTGGGGGCACCCCCATCATCCACAGGCACTTTAATCCTGCTCACCCTCCTCCTGTGGTCACTTCTCCCTTCATGCCAGGAGGGGCGCTAAACCTCATAGCTGTCGGGCACTGCAGACTGTTGGCTGGGGGGCTGTTTATATGACATTATACACTTGGCACAAACTTTGAAGGCAACAGACACAGGTGGACGTTTCGCCTCAAGCTGCTCACAGGACACCAGCGGGTACCATGCTGAGACTCCCGCGAGCCTGGCAGCCACGAGTGGTGCGCCCCCTGTTGTCCCGCTTGACCTTCTTTCAGTGGCATCAGATTTATTATGTTGTTATTCCCCCGGACTACATAATTTAGCACTGAACTCGGAAGTGCAGTGGAAATAATCTAATTTCCACCGTCTTTCACTTGGTAATTAAACTAATAAGAGGAGACATTTATCATTGCCTGCTTTTCCACCCTGACAAGACTGTGCTTCAAGACTCTAGTCACGGAGACACCGACGTCTCAAAGCAAACAGAGAGACGTGTTGTCATTTATGTGTAATAATTGTTTAAGCGCTGATTTTTATTCCTAATTGACCGCCGGTGCACTATTTAGTTGCTGGCAAAGCCCGAGCGCTCAGAGCCGACTTCGGTCGCCATCTCATCACCTCCTCTCCTCTCCTCTCCCCGCAGCCTGCGAGCTGATGAACCGCGGCATCCTGGCTCTGGTCAGCTCCATCGGCTGCATGTCAGCCGGCTCACTGCAGTCGCTATCTGATGCCATGCACATCCCGCACCTCTTCATCCAGCGCAGCCCCGCCGGGACGCCGCGCTCCAGCTGCCCGCCCACCAGCCGCGGCCGCACCGACGACTACACGCTCTTCGTGCGGCCGCCCGTCTACCTCAACGAGGTCATCCTGCATGTGGTCACGGAGTACAGCTGGCAGAAGTTCATCATCTTCTATGACACGGATTACGGTGAGGAACGGGGACGCGCCCCCTTCCGCCCGCGCGTCCCCACTCCGTCCCCCCTTCCGCCCGCGCGTCCCCACTCCGTCCCCCCTTCCACCCGCGCGTCCCCGCTCCGTCCCCCCTTTCACCCGCGCGTCCCCGCTCCATCCGCGCCCGGCGCCCGCAGCCATCCGCGGAGAATTACACACCTCGCAATTTGACAAAACTAATTTATGCCACGAGATCTTTATTGAAGCCAGCGGGGAGACGGCAAGCTGACATTTGGCGCCTTTAACATTTTAACATTTAAAGAAGTGTAAGCGCCTGCGTGTGTTTTAAATGTTAAACGCGCCGCCCGAGCGCAGGGTCGCCGACGCCGGTAACTCGTCCCATTGAACCGTCGCGGATGTGATTAATTGCACACGGCTTCGTGTGTGTACGTCTGCGTATGTTTGTGTGTCAATGAGTCAGGTGCTCTCTTTAAATCACTTTCTCTCACTGAGGAGATGCTGCTGCTTAATCGTGCTTCAAATGACAGCCTGGGTGATTCAGTAATTCTGTGTGTGTGTGTGTGTGTGTGTGTGAGAGAGAGAGAGAGAGAGAGAGAGAGAGATAGCATTGTGCATCTGTTTATTAGTGTAAGCCTGTGTTTATTTGCATATGTGCGACTTTATACATCTGTGTATTTGGTTGTGTGTCAGCGTGTGCCTCTGTGACTCTGCTTGTTTGTATTTGTGTAGGTCTTTCTGTGCGTCTTTTATTGTGTGTGTGTGTGTGTGTGTCTGTGTCACTCTGCTTGATTGTGTGTGTGTCTGAGTGTGAGCATGTTAAATGCCCTTCCTCTCCCATCCCCAGCTACCTCCCAGTCTGCATAGAGTGGCTGAGGTTATCCCCCCAATACGCTACAGCCCAGCCTGGATCAGCACAGCCAGATGCCGATGTAAAGCCTGGACCTTCTGGCCGGGTTTGTGGGGCCTGCTGGCTGGAACGTGGCCCACCGCGGGCGGGCAAGCTGACGAATCTGCGGCGAGCTGGCAGCGCGGTCCGGAAGCGGCTCGGCCGGGTTTAAACGGCCTCGTCGGCACCGCGATGTGGGGCGCGCTGATTTCCGTTCGCTGCGGGTCGGGCCGTGGCGTTGTGGCCCGTCAGCATTGGCCCTCGCCTCCCGGCGCTGAGTTTCTGACGGTTCGCCTGCTGCTATTTATGACTCGCCTGGATAATTAGGCACCAGGAGGGACCCCAGCCGGATTATGTGCTCTTCACAGTGCTTTAGCGGATGACGCGGCCTGTGTTACCGCCGCCCAAGCCGGGCTGATGAGAACCAGCGCCGGCGACGGTCTTGGACCTGATTGTGAGCGAGTTGGGACACAGTGTTTGGGTTTTTAGTGTCACAGATCCACAACACGAGGTCCCCCCCCAGTCACCCCACCGGCTTCAAGGCACAGAGTGGCGTGAGGCTAAGATTACGGCATTTCACAGTGCTGAGCAGCAGCGGGTTTGCGGTGGGCCTGGGGGGGGGGGGGGCAGTGGTACAGGGTGAGTGCGCATCGCTGCAGTACGGAGTGCGATGGGCTCTAGAGGCTCAAACCAAGGTGTGTATGTGTGTATTGGTGTGTGTGGGGAAGGTGAGGCATGCAATTCGAGACTCTGGGTGTGTGTGTGTGGTTGCATTTGCTTTCCAATCTGCCCTATCATGTCCATATCATTTGTGTGTGTTTATGTGTGTTTGTGTGTTATTATGTACTTGAGGTTGTGTGTGTGTTTATGTGTGTTTGTGTGTTATGTACTTGAGGTTGTGTGTGTGTGTGTGTGTGTGTGTGTGCGCACATTTGCATGTGTCTTTTCAGGAGCCTCTGATCTTGCCCGCTTGCTGTCTGATGTCCGTCACCCCGTGTCTGTGTTGTCCAGCCTGGGCTCCTGCCCTGCTGCCGCTGTGACTCACAGGCCATGAGGCCGGGCTGTGAGAAACGCCTTGCTCTGGCGGCATCTGCATCTGCCAGCTCCATCAGGCGACGCCCCCACCACTGCCCTACAGTCTCCTGGTCAAAGCTCCGGGCAGATTCAGGGCGCTGGTGACTCTGGGGTGTTTTTGGGTATCCTGGAAGCCGCTGGGCTGAGTTCCCTCTGTCCTACACATGTTGGTGCCAGTCTGAATGCACGGGAGTCACATGACCATGCCCCAGCAGCCCTGCCCCCCTCCCCAGTCACAGGGGGCGTTGACATAGTGAGTTTATTGATTGTAGATGTTTGCCAGCATATGAGGCTTGTTCCTTCCCAGAGCAGCCCCTGTTGGCTTCTAAGGCAGGGTGGGGGGGGGCATTTACATTCAGAGCCAGTACACAGATGGAGCAGCTGGAGGAAAGGGCTCCCTGTGCAGCCTGCGGTTGGCGTGGTCCCATCTCCCCCTGCATTTGACCGTGACCAGGACAAGCTGGGTCCCGTTCTTCCCCCCAGCTTTTCCGGCACATGGCCCGTCCAGCTCACGGTGCAGCTGCAACACTGCCCAATTACCCAGAATCCTCATCTGTCTCACAAATCCCTCCCCCTGTGTCTTCCTGTCCCTTTTCTGTAATGAGCCCCTACATATGAATGCCCCCAGCCCCCCGACCCGGCACATTACCCCATTACCCATAATCCCTCCCTGGGGCCCCGTTTCCCACAAATGATCCAAGGCCCTGGCGAAATCCAGCACCACACCTCAGCCACAGAATTATGTTTTATTTACCCCTCCTTTCGAGGCAGCCCACTGCCTCTCTGTGTGACGAATGGACTACAGAAGGAGAAAATGCAGACGGTCCCTTGCAATTTGTCAGCTAAATAGACAGTAACAGAGCTGCGTGTCTCCTGTTTGTGCTGCCCTGACCGCTGGAGCGTCGACCCGCTCGTTCTCTGAGGGGGGGTGGCACAGTGGTGCCGCGGTCACTCCTGCGCCTGCCGGGTTATCCTCCAGGTGGCAACGCTCTCTGTGGGAGGTGTGGTTTCAGGTAGGAGTCCACTGGAGCGTGGAGGTAGAGATGGGAGACGATGTGAGTTTCACACTAAGCTGTGGGCCTAAATACTGGTATCAGAACCGATTCTCCAAGCTTCTGAATGCCCTGAAAACCTTTTTCTTTCTTTCATTTAGAACTTCAGTCATGCTAATAAGTGGTAAATTATGGAGGTGTGGGACCGGAGCTATCAGGAGTGTTGATTAGTGTATTATTAGCATTAAAACTGGTGTCTCACTGCACAACTGATACCCCCACGTCACCAGTTCTTTTGTCCACCCCACCCCCAGACATCCGAGGTATTCAGGACTTCCTGGACAGGGCGTCCCAGCAGGGCATGGACGTGGCGCTGCAGAAGGTGGAGTCCGACGTCAACGTGATGATCACCGGAATGTTCCGCACCATGCGGGTGGAGGAGCTGCACAGATACCGAGACACGCTGCGGAGAGCCGTCCTCTTCATGAGCCCGGCCACCGCCAAGGCCTTCATCACCGAGGTACGCCCCCCCCCCCCGATGGCATGCCCCACCCCTGACACGCCAAACGCTCACACTCCGCACTAATGGCTCATTAAGGCAATGCAGGCCCTATTAGCGTCAAAGTGTTAATTAGATGTTTACATTTAATTAGGCTATAAAAGCTACATGAAAACTGTTATACATTACGTTGGTGTAAAATTATGCAGCATCTAAACTCATGACATGATATGAAAGATGAGACACACTTTACTCCTCTGGATTTTTTGCCGCATTTAACCCCAAAGGAGACATTTATTTACATAGTGAATGCTTTTGTCTAACACATACGAGTAAGGAAAGTTTGGAGAACGAGATTGGGGTTAGCCAGCGCTGGAGCAGTTGGGGTTAAGGGTCTTGCTCAAAGGCCCAGTGGTGATATGATCACTTTTCCGGACACAGGTTTTGAACCTATGACCTTCTGCATACAGGCTCCTAACCCACGGAGCTGCACACTGAGTTACGCTGTCTCTAATTGAACAGAGAATCCAAGCCTGCAGTCTAATTACAGGTTACCATAGACTGGGAGTAGTCTTCCACCAATGTTTCGGACAGGACCGAGGGGAACGGCATGGCTACAGTTTATCTGAGATTAGCACAAAGCCAGGACAATCATCAGCCGGGATATTAGCGGCCTAGTGACAGATTAGCACAGGCTAAGGAAAAGGCAAGCTGTGCTTTAGCAGATGGGATCGTGGACGGCATGCCGGGGTCAGAGCTGGCGCCGGCAGGGCGTCCAGAGCCGCGGTGACTGACGGATCTGTTTGTTGGCTTTGGAAGCTGGCCACTCATCGGAAGCGATGGCAGTCACGGACAGGCAGCTGTGCCGGAGGTGCTGTAACGAGAAAGTTCTGCCAGATTATTATTATTAACTCCCCCCTCCCTGCCATTATCATCTTTACTGCCATTAAAGCCCTATTTAGCACTTGTGGTACCAGCGTCCGACGTGGAATGTAACAGCTTCATAAAAGCACACATGCTATCGCAGTGGGATGTTACCTGTGTATGTTTTTTTTAACAGTGTTTGAGGGGTTGTGACTTGGTTTTTGTTCCTGTCGGGCCCCCGTGACCTTTCACATAATGACATTTGACCTCTGACCCCACACAAGCCTCCCACTGATCTTTCACATAAAGGCTAAGATGTGAACTCAGCCCAGAGTATTGTGGGATATTTCTAGTTAATTGAATCATTTAATCTGGCCTGGTAGGCCGCTTTATCTTTTGTACACCTGAACAAGATGGCCAGATGCCTAGACCACCCTTTAAAGGCAGTGCGACAGATTCAGTCTGTACAGATGTCTCTTTAAACACACTTTGGTCCGCGTCCTGTTAGCCATTATCTTTCTACTTTCCTGGTCATTAAAGAAATCGATTGTGTTTTTGCTGTTGATCAGTCTCATGCCTGCATGTTTTCTTCTGATGCATAGTAAATATCTCTCAACTGAGAATCCCATTTAGGAACAGAAGGCATCCTGGATACAAGTATTAGTTATTGTGGCGAAGCCAATCCTTTGTAGGGGTGGCTGCTTCCTGTCCGTGTCAAAAGGGGACCTTTTTTTCATGGATCGCTAGGCTCACCCGGAGTATCGGGATATGAGTTTGGGAATATTTCCTGCATAATACAGTCACTTCAGAACAGGCACAAACTCAAAATGACCCACACTGTAACCACTGTGGAGCTTAAATTTATTTTAACTATTCAGATAAATTTTTTTAAATCTGTTTTTTTAAATTGCACAGTTGTACCAAATTCTTATAAATGGCTCTTCCTCGTCTCCCCCAGGGAAATGTCAGCTTTTGATATGGGGACCTTAGTGTGACAGAAATAACTGCATTTTTCCGTATAATTCACAAACAAGGAGGCACCAGCGAGTGTGTTTGTTACCCAGTGTTCCATACTTAAAAGCGAACCTAAGATAGAGTAAATCACTTTTAAGCCATCGCCTGCAGTGAGCTTCTCCTGACTAATAACAATGACTGGTTCAGAGTTTAGGATGTGCAGTTTTTCATCCTGCAGCCCAGAGCAGAAATACAAAACGATGCAGCAGGTTAACATGTAATGAGAGGGCAGGCCACTCTCCACACACCCGTCGGACAGTCTGCTGTTTTGCTGTATGTCGTTTCTGATGAAAGTAGGTGATGCACTGTTCACTAAAGCCGCTAGTATCATACATCAGCTGCGACTGGTGTTGTCACCATGGTAGTGTGTGAGTAAACCATACTGGGAACGTGCTGTATGATTGTTCTATTTGCCAGCAATCTGAATGAATACTTCAGGTGGGATTTCTCAATGGGTGTTTCGCAATATGTGTACTAGACTGTACTTGTGTTCTCAGGTACCCATTTTACATCATCTTCCATTGCCGAAGACCTGTTCCATTACTAAGAACAGAAGTACATGAGGACGGTAAAAATCCTTGGATGTCGTTCTTTCCCCACCCCAAATCTCAAGTATACACTGGTTGCATCCTCGCCAAATGAGACCAATCCCATGATTCATTGCGCCCCAAGTTCATTCTTGGAAGGCGAGTTGGCAAGACCGGTCTTGCCAAGACCACATGTGCGGTTGTTGCGTCCTGAGTATTGAGACTCCATCTCGGACAGGACTGAAATGGTAGGAAGGGTGGTATAGATGAGAGGGCTGATGGGAGGAAGGGCAGTATCGGTCAGAACGCTGAAATGGGAGGAAGGGCGGTATCATCAGAACGCTGAAATGGGAGGAAGGGCGGTATCGGCAGAACGCTGAAATGGGAGGAAGGGCGGTATCAGTCGGAGAGCTGATGGGAGGAAGGGCAGTATCGGTCAGAGGGCTGATGGGAGGAAGGGCGGTATCGGTCAGAGGGCTGATGGGAGGAAGGGCGGCATCGGTAGGAGAGCTGATGGGAGGAAGGGCGGTATCGGTCANGCTGATGGGAGGAAGGGCGGTATCGGTCAGAGGGCTGATGGGAGGAAGGGCGGTATCGGTCAGAGGGTTGATGGGAGGAAGGGCGGTATCGGTCAGAACGCTGAAATGGTAGGAAGGACAAAGTCGCTCAGAGGGCTGAAATCACTGCCATCCATATAATGGCCATGCACTTTGTGTCTTAGACCTCTCTCTATGTCAGCAGGTTGATTGCAGTGGGTCGTTTCCGTCACACCTGCGTGTCTGTTTGCCACATCTCTGTAGCTGCATGACGGCTGGCCGGGTGGTTCCATTCGCCGTGCTTTCAGATCGAAGCTCCGCTGATGGGTTCTGTGAATCTGAAATATCCGCCGTTTACCCTGCTGGCTGCCAGCCGCGAGCTACGCCAGCCTCCTCTCCCCAGTACCTGACAGGCTGCTGTGTTACTGTCCTTCTTCCCCGTCAGTCTTCGGTAATCTGCTTTTTAACCGTCTTGCCTGATATTTTTAGCCCTCATTATTCTCAGTATGTTCACATTATACAAGCCAGGTTCTTCCTGACTGATGGCTTGATTGAACTGTGCATCAGAGATGGGCCTGCAGGGGATGTGTGCACTTATGCCAGTAATATGTTTGTAATTAATGTTATATTAATTTATCTTAAAAACAGGGTTGGAAGGTTGCCTCCTGTTTCCAGAGTTTCATTCACATCACGGCTCTTTGTGTGCGGAGTTTGCATATCTCCCCCACTCCCCCAAGCTTTTAATCGATTGGTCCTGCTTGAGGGGACAATATGAAGGTGAACTGCTTGCTTTTTAAAAAAAAAAAAGCTGTTGGTTTGGCCTGGGGGGGGGGGGGGGGGGGGGGGAGGGGGGGCTGTCAAGATGACCGTTTATTGACATCAGCAGCCTTTTCGGACTGGTGCCGTAAAGGCAGCTTTGACGCACCAACAGCAAGGCAAGACCTGGACCTCTGTGATGCAGGACGGATTCATAAATGTATGGGGGGGGGGGACTTCAGCAGCACAGCAGGGATCCCTGAACTCCAGAGTTACAGGTTCGAATTAGACGAGATTCCGCCAGATTCTCACCTTTCACAAGCAGATCAGGTGGATAAATAGGCGTGAGGGTCCAGTCCAAAGCGCCTGCTTCCAGTGCTTAACCAGAAACGGCGCTGGATCATTGCATCACAGAATGAAGAAGCAGTTATTGAAAAGGGATGATTGACATTTATATATTTTTATGAATATTGTGTTCCGTTGTTTTATTTTTTTTGAGAGGGGGGAGAACTATTGAAATTACTTTTTTTATTGCTGCAATTTTGGTATTTTTAAATTGGTTAGTCCTCAACAGAGAGACAAATAAATGCGTATCGTAGACATGTTGTTTTGCAGAATATCAATGGAACATCAGAGACACATTTTCAGTAGTAATCCATCTTCCGGCTGCGGTGTTAAGTTTGATGTCTGAGAGCCGTGAAATGACGCCCGGCCACGGCGATGCGGCGATGTTCGGACGGACTCCCCGTGTCTGATTACCTCGCTGCGTCTCTCTGTCCTCAGCTTTTAGGTGCTACACACTGGGGCAGACAAGGGATGCCAGTGGGAGGGAGAGGAATGCGGGTGAACTGTCACGGATAACTGTCTCTGTCCCGACTCCGGAGTAGCTGTCACACCGCCAGAGCTCGCAGTGGAGATCAGGACACACTCGCCGACTGGTGTTTAAGCTCCTGTTGTGTTCCGCCTCTGCTTGTTAAGGCCCCATCTTCTTCTCAGCCGGCATGGAGGAAGAGGCCATTTCCATTTAAACCCGCAGTGGCGCTCACAGTAGCAAACTCAGACACGACACTTAGTGGAAATGGACCTGCAGCCTGTCCCTTAAAATGGTCTTGTTTTTTTTTCCTCTTATCTAACAAATCCAGGCATGACACGGATCTAGACTTGCGAAGGCGGAGGGGAATGGAACTTTGTGCACCATTTTTAAACTAAGAATGTTTAATCCTCCACAGAATATGTGCGAGGTTGCTAATGACGGCCAATAAGGAAAGGGTTCACAAGGTCGGCAGTTAGATTATGAGAGTCGGAGGTTGTGATTGGTTCGTGG